TGCATTTTCTACATTAAAGGTCTCTCACCAGGACGTGACCTCTGATGCTGCCTTCAGGTACTTTTTTAAAGCTCACTTCACAAATAAAAATAAATAAATAAATAAATAAAGTTGTTGGTTTAAGGACGATAATTATCGTGTACATTTTGAGTCAAGCGGATAAATATGGGTTTTTAGTGGATTTATTGTAAAGTAAACATGCTACAGGAAAAAAACACTGTTAACTCTTAATGTTACATCCTGTTTAATCGGGTGGTATAACTAAGATACTTTAGTCAAGTACTCTCCAATTCACACGGAAAGTTCATACCTTTTATCCATTTAAACGGAATTATTTTCGATATTCTGCAGATTAAAATGCTTAAGTCACATTCATTTTTTTATTTTTATTATTATTTTTAATCGTCTAACACCGATTAGTTCTCAGAGTATTTTTCCTGCACTACCTGAACGCAGCACCGTTTCAGACGTCGTCCGCACAGCTGTCCCAACTTTTTTTTCTTTCTTTTTCCCGCGAGATTTTGCGCCGTTTAGCGAAGCGAGTGGGGTGAAATCTCGGGCGAGCGTGAGAACCAGCAGGGTGAGGAGGAACAAATAACGTGGAGACCTGAAAAGTGTGTGCACACATTGCAGAACTTCACAAGAAGGCAGCACGGTAACTTTAAACGACATCAGTTTCTCCGGGAACGAGAAACTTTTCGTTTAGCGCCACTTTTTTTGCACTTTGGTAAAGTTGAGCTCTGCGCGGCTCGGAGTCCCCCACCTTGGAGCAGAAAGTCGGTCGGTGGTCGGCAGTTGGTCCTGCAGGAATGTCGCGACCAGAGAAACACGATTTTTATCGAGAGGAGGTGAACAAGACGATATGGGAAGTCCCGGAGCGGTACCAGAGACTGACCCCGGTTGGATCCGGCGCCTACGGATCTGTCTGGTAAATCGCCTTCCTCCAAAAAGTTCAGTTAGGTGAAGTTAGCCTGACTTGTCCATTCATTTAGACGAGGCCTGCGCTTCACAAGCTAATGGCGAGCAAGGTGGAGCCGCGGTGTCTGTTTGAGCAAGAAAAGCCCAGAACTTGCAATCTTTGACGTGTTACCGAGTTGTAATTATTAAGTGCTAATAAATTCCTGGCTGTGAACTAAGTATAGAAAGTCTGATCCACATGCACTGATCAGTGTGCATGTTAAGAGTCACACAAGTGTTCTGGTCTCCTCAGGTTACTCCGACCACATTTGTTCTGGATAAAGACATTTAATGCACATTGCACCGTTAGTGCAACAAATATAGCTGCTTGCTGCTAGGTAGGTTGTTTGAATTAACTCAGTCCCTTCATATTGACGATGTGAGCACAGCTTCTGGATGTTTTTCTTATTAGGAGCACAAGTGGAAAGTTGAGATGTCCACTTCACTGATCTTGCATGGATAAAGAAAGCCAGAGTGCTGTAATCTAAAACAATGAATAGACCGATAGATTGACTATTTGGCTATTTAAAAAAAAAATCTATAATAATAATAAGTGCAAACAGTTTTCTGTTTAAGTCACTGTGATGTTAGTATCTTTTACTTTTGTGGCTAACTTTAAAATAATGACTGAAAATGATCAACAGCTGCTAAAACCTCCCAAGTTGGTTGCTATGAAAACCAGCTGCTGTCTTCATGCAAATTTGATAGGCAGCCTCATCAAAACCTTAATGTTCTCTCAGTGTTGCCTTTCACTCTTGATAACTAGTTATATGTTAGGGAGCCCTGCAGTTAATGTTTGATACGTTATATACAAATCTGCAGCTCAGAGGTATTTGCATGCACAGCAGATTGGAGATCTTGCCTCTTGAGGGTGGGTTTCCTTAATGTTGCCTAGCGGCAGTAAGGTCATCTTTGGATGAATGGACCCTTTACATAGGTTTTTAATTAAATGGATTGTGCTGCTGATACGATCTGGGACACAACATAGTCGGTGGTACACTTCTTTTAGTGAGCAGATGTTTGTTTTGCAAATGGAAGAGGACAGCTGTGCTGTTGCTGGGCAATAGGATAATCTGTTGCTGGTCAGATTACTGTCAGCTCGCTGCTACTGCTGCACTGACTGTGATTGTTTTTATTATAACAGTGCGCTGGCTTATATTGTTACCAGCTACGTGATGACTTCAAGTTTACTGTAGCCAGTAATTTGAAACTGAAACTGAACAGCATGCTCTAAACTGTGTGGCAATGACGCACACCTGAACCCTGCTGCAGGTTGGTGGCTTTATCAGAAGTCGACTCCCATATCATCATACCTAATAAATCGAACGAGTTAAGGAGCGTCTTTGTCCAAGAAGCTTGCACAACTGAACACTGTTATGCGCAAATTGCTAAAGGACATAGTCTTTTTTAGATGTGTTCATACCACTTAAAAAATACTCGTTTTGTTTCGGTGAGGGTGCTGCCTAGATAGTGTCTGCATTATGTAAGACAAGGGATGACTGCACTGTTTTGACTTCCTTCAATCAAACACGAAGTCCTTATGAAGGAGCTGACGGGATGATTTAATATCTAATACAGCTGTATGTGGGATTTACATTCCTGCATGCTCTTGAAATGGGTAAAAGCTCAGTGCAGCAGTGTATGTAGGGAAGAACAGTTAAGGTGACTCAAATATATGCTGAGGAGTTGAACCAGAGACTAGAAAGATGCTTCGAGCCCTCTGTTTCTTGCTATGATGATAATCCCTGTATCCATTTTTATTATTAGGTTGGCATTGCTATAGGTGGTTTCTTTGTTAACCTTTAATATCGATTGATGTTGATGTGTCTGCGGGCACGCTGGTGTCCCCACAGCAGTCACACGAGGCCATCCACAAGCCGTGACTCTGTTTAGGTGAGTTAAGCAGGGGTGGGGTGGGTGTTGCTTTTGGGTCAGAGACAGTTGGTTTTCAGAGCGGGGGATATGCTGCTGCCAGGGCTGCTTGCAGTCTGCTGAGAGATGGCATTTTCTGCTGATGTCGTGCTTTCCCCCCCAGCCTTCAGCAGCTCTTCCTGCAACCTACTTTGGTTTTTTGAGAGCAAACTCAGACCCAGACTGAGCCACATGAAACGCTTCAGTACCTCTGCCCGAAAAGGACGGGCTTGCTTTGATTAAAGCCACAGTCTTTCCGTGTTAAATAAATGCTGATCACTTGTTGGTTTTATGATCTAAATTGGTGTATGCTAAAAGTTAAGGTGTTTTCCCCAATGAGATTTAAGCTCACATGTATGCTTTTGACTTTTTTTAAACAGCTCCGCCATTGACATGGAGACCGGTTTGAAGGTCGCTGTGAAGAAGCTCTCTCGGCCTTTTCAGTCCATCGTCCACGCCAAAAGAACCTACAGAGAGCTGCAGCTGCTTAAACATATGAAACATGAAAACGTGAGTGACTTGTCTCTCTTCAATTTGATCCGCCTGTTAAGCTTCAGTTCTGAGCTTAACAGTGTTTGTCTCATTCTTGCAGGTAATTGGCCTCTTAGATGTCTTCACCCCTGCCACCTCTCTGAAGGACTTCACCGACGTGTGAGTCGAATGTGCTTCTTTATGTTATCTTAAATTTAAAGTATCAGGGCTTTTGCATAATTTAACAGTGATGTGAAGCTCAGCAGCCTTGAGTTTCTCAGCAGCCCACAATCCCGACTGTTCCTGGAAAACACCTGGAGGCACGCCAGGAGACTGAAAACACTGACAAACATTCTTTAGACTCTCTGCTATGTTAGTTATTCACTCACTGGCTGTAGCCAGCCTCTTCATCACCAGCTTCCTTCCTTCTGTTTCCTGATTTCTGGTTTTGTGGAACATGTAGTACATGCCCTGGTTTACAGAAAAACAGGTAGTTATTGTTTGTTGATGTTAAAATCTCTTGGAAATTGGAAGTGAACAGCTTAGCAGTGACTCAGCATGCAGTTGTGCGTGCTGCCTTGCTTGTTATTGGTGGCGTGTCACTCTGTTTTTTCTTCTTCTTTCTTTTTGTTCTTGACACTCAAAGTTCAAACTGTAGCAGATTCCAGGGAGCACCTCATCCAACAAGTGAATGCTTAGAGTCACTCACTTATTTATGATTTCATACTGAAAATGTCCCTGTATTATTGACCCATCCTATTTACTTCATTATCTGAACCAAGCGATACTGGAAGCATTATCGCCAATATCTAAAATTCATGAAGGTCAGTGTGGCAGCAAACTGCACGTCCTGGGAGCATACAGCGGCTAAAGTAAACATTGAAAACAACACCAGTTTTCTAAGTAAAGTCTGAAGGTGCTATTGACATGTCATTTCTCACCAGATGTTGGCAACAATCCACACATTCAAAGAAATCAAACCATAGATGTCCATAAATTCACTTATATGTAACAATAAGAAAAAATAAAGAAAAAAGCATTGAACACATGAAGAAAAGGAGGTGTGGAAAGTCATGACACCGGCTAAAATGTATCAGTAGTTAGAAAGCAATCCTGCTATTGGTGCAAATTAATATCAGCTTGTTCAGTCCCAAGTGATGGCCTAAGGTGTCACACCGTAAAACCAGTGAGCTCTCTCAAGACCTTTGCAGCCTTACTGTTGTAAGACATGATGCCACTGATTACAGAAGACTTTCTGAAATACTGAAGCTTCCAGTGAGCATCATGTGTGGGGCTGTTTTTCAGCAACACATCACTGGCACGCTTCATATAAGGATCACTGGAGAAATGTAATGACACATTATTGATTATGAAGATGAAACGAGGGTGGATGTTTCATCGCGGTAATGATCTCAAACATACAGCGAGAGAGGAAAAAATTAAGCTGCTAGAATGGTAGCCAATCATCTGACCTGAATCCAATTGAAAGTCTGTGGAAAGAACTAAAGCCCCGAGTTCACTGAAGGGGCACACAGTGCCGTAATCACCAGCAAAGGCTTTTGCAAGAAATGTTAGATAAACTTCAGTAAGCATGTTCAATACATTTTCCCTGTGTCATTTTTCATTGGTTGGTTTGCATGGATAGGTTGTTGGTGAGATTTTCATGTCAATGCCACCTTTACAGATATATTTGGTGACACGTTTAATGTTTGTTTTACCTACTTTATATAAACTCTTAACTTGGTTCTCGGCTGCATCACAAACCTCTAATTTGACATTTGCTACCAATTACTTGAAAATGTTGGACATTTGCACTGGGCTCTCTATTACTGCTCTACTGGCTGAAGTAAGAAGCAGTGACAAATATGGAAATAAACTCTATCCACTTGTGCAAAGATAAGTTTGTTGGGCAGTCTGTCCTGGGATTTCCCCAGGAAATTATTTGGCTGAGACAGTAGGTCAGTCAGCTCTCTGTGGAGGTGAGTAATTGGAGGGTGACTAAGTCTAACTATGCAATAATCAAATGAATTAATTTATGTAGTTTTCTGTGAAAGTGTCTGTCCTCAGTTTTGTTAAAAGTTATGTGTTACTTTTGCATCAGCTTTTTAATAAAATTTTAAGTTCATATAACTAGAGTCCTTAGCAACAGGGAGTCCTGCAACAGAGCCCTGATCTCAACATCAGTCAGTCTATCAAGGGTCATGTGAAGAGAGCGGAATAAATGAGACTTTTTCCTTGGAACACCAAACCTCCTTTGAAGAGCATCATGTGATTTGAAGTGCCGTGAAACTTGCATGATGTTGTGTTCATAGTGCAACACACAAGCTAGATTTTTTTTTTTCCATAATCATTTGGAGGTATATCACAGTTTTATTCTTGTAATAATTTATAAGGATCATGCAGCCTGTGTTTGGTCTCAGGATAGAAGAAAATAACAACGCTGTGTTCAATATTTGATCTCAAGCTTCTCTGACAGCTCAGTCAGATCACAGTTAACACAATTTAAATTCAGAGTGTGGAAAAGGCTTCTGATAGATGACTCAGGCTCATGCAGAGATTTGAAGTGTAGTGAAGTTTTCTCATTTTTCATCCATCATCTTCCCGAGTATCTCCCCCTCTCTGACGTATTGTCTGCACAACCTTTTGAAAGTTGATTAAATCTTTGTGCAATATTTTTCCTAAACTTTTTTTTCCCCCTCTATGATATCGGACATTTAAAATTGCAGCGGTACAGCAGTGCAGTGGTTAGCACTCTTGCCTCACAGCTGGAAGGCTCGGGGTCTGAGCCTGTGGGTCGGCTGGGGCCTTCAGAGTGGAGTTTGACACTCCACACTTCCTGTGTTGCAGTTTTCCCAGTTCTTCAGTGTCCTCTCAGAGTCCAGAGAGTATTGGTAGTTTTTAAATTGATTACAGGGGGGTAGATGCCATACCCTGCCTCTTGTAGGGATATGTTCCAGCCTCTGATGACCCAGTTGGATAAGTGGTTAAGAAATTGGTTGGATGAATTGCAACAGACTGTATATAAAAGATGGGCAGAGCCAATATGACATCACTCATTGCTTTCTAAATTCTGCATTTTGAAGCATCACTGCTGGTGTTTAGGCACCAGCGTGTTAAATTTGTTTTGAGCCAGAAGTGACCATATTTGGATGAGAAGGTCGAGTGCAGGGTTGCCAGCTAAGGCGTGTGCGCTTCTTTGCCACAGAACAGAGGGACTTTTAAACTTAACCAAAACCTAACAGTGAAAGAAATGCTATAAAAATCACTTTATAAGAATCGGTCCATTTACCATAAAGTTGCAATGAAGGGATAAAACACTAAAAGAGGGTAAAACTACTTTCTTATACTTGGCCATCATCAGGTTTTCAATGTGTGTAAATTTGGAATTTTAATATTAAAGTCTTAAGGATTATATTTATTTATTATTTTTGTTTATTTTTTTGCTTTTTAAGTCTCCAGTGGCCCCTTTAAGAATGGCATGTTATTTAGTTATTGATTTATTGTTTTGTTAGCATTTATTTCTTAGCCCAGAGGCTGTAGTTTGTGGTTTTCACTCATTAAAGTCCATTAGGTCTTGGTAGGTTTATGTAAACACGATTCATGTCCATGCAGCATCATTTCAAACCACATGTGCTCATCTCTGCTGCAGGCTTGCAGCTCGAAGTGTGACGCACTGAAATGTGGAATAAACTGTTTGCAGTTGCATTGCTTCTTGGGTAATGTAGGCACAGGGCCTTTGAAAGGGAAGACAAATGTATGACTAACAAAATAAGAGGGCCCACAACGCTAAACTGCTGAAGTAGACTCATTGAAACTGAACACTTTAATGACTTGCTGGAATTTTGTATTCATACTTCGAGTGGCAGCATCTGTGTGCTGTTGTAATGGAGAGCCGTCCACTCAAGAAGCCCTGCCCTCCTCCCAGAAAAGCATAATGATATGGAGGACTCGAGGCAATGCAAGGTCACACATGTAGAGCACACGTAAAGCTTGGACCCCTGTGGGAAAGAGAACAGGGGGTGAGTCAGTGTGCTGGCATGCCTTTTGCAGTGTTTGGCACTGTTCTCCAGTGCATATCTGCCAAACGCTGTAAAGTTTCTGCATGCAACGTAAAAATGTCAACTGTGCAGGTGCTCTGGGTATGACCCTGAGACTCCTCAGCGCTCTAGCCATGCCCCTCTTTCTTTAGGAGAGAGGAGAAGAGAGGTCACTATTCATATTTTATATACGTGTTTGTATCTATCCCCCCCCCAGGCGAATGAACTTAGGCGAGTGTCTGTGTCCTTATGTCTGCAGCTGAGAACAAGTTCAAGCACAACCAGATGGTATTTTAAGCCCTCGTTCTCTGTACTGTGTGAGAATAGAAGAGTATTCATGAAACGGGTATTTGTTGTGCAGCGGACTGACGAAGCAGCACGTGGCTCTGTGAGTTTTGGCTCCAAAAGTGCTCGTCTAGCATCCCGCTGCAGACTCCTTCCATAAGTGCTGTTTGGGCATTTTAAACAGCTTTGGGATTAGATTTGAATTATCCACTGATGCAGTACTATTAAGCCCATTTATCTGGGGTGTGTTGTTAAATGACATTCCATTTGTGAAGGGCTTGGCCTTTCGGTGCCTCTCGAGAGACGTGAGAGTGAAAAGAAGTAGCAGCTAAACCGGTTTAAGCTCACATAGCCATATGGGGAAATTAGGCACAGGCTGCAAACAGCTCTGAAATTATTAGTTTGGAAGTGCAAATACATTTTATGACATTAGTATTTTTATTTTATAATTTTTTTTAATGACGTGAGAAACACTGGCATGGCTTCTGACACTTGTCTGTTTAAGCTGGGACAACAATCTTTTCTGCTTTGGCAGGTATCTCGTGACTCATCTAATGGGGGCAGATCTCAACAACATAGTCAAATGTCAAAAGCTCACCGATGACCACGTGCAGTTTCTCATATACCAGATCCTCCGAGGATTAAAGGTGAGCTTAAAGGAATGATTGATGTTGTGGAAAACGTGCTTATTTCTTTCCTTTTCTTGAGCAAGATAAAGATTGATGCCACCCTCATATCTGGTCAGCTTAGCAAATGCTAGAGTCCTAAGTGTCTGCTAGCTAACCTGGGCAAGCAAAATGTATTCGTATAGCACTTTTCAAAGACAAAAATCAGAAAATGCTACACAATAAATGCAACTCTCCCTTTCCTGTCCTTAGTGGTCGGACTGTGTTGGAGATTCTAGTGAAATCTCTTCAGGTTTGCTGTGGTTTAGAGCAGGGGTGTCAAACGTATGGCCCGTGGACAATTGTATCTGGCCTGTGAGATAATTTCATATGTCAGTTATTAATGGCCGGGTTGTATGTAGCAGCCTAATCTTCAGCCCTGCTGAGAATCCATGCAGGCAGGGATGGGACTTTAATTTGATGGGCACACCATGTGGCCAAATACATGCAAAGACAGACTGGGATCATACCATTATTGAAAGAAGGAAGGGGGGCAGACGTTCCAAGACGACAAGTGTAGTGGTACAGGCCGGGTAACCAGAGAGACGGGGCAACCGGATTTTAATGCAAGCGTGTTGGGGAAAAGTGATGAAATGAATAAAATGAGCAGCACCTGGCTGCATTTCAATGATATTGAAGATTACAAAGCTTAGCACAGAGCCATGGCTCAGTGTCCGAGTGTCTGACAGGCCTGAATGTTAAGAAGTTTGATCTGCTGCTTACCACAAACAGCCTCAAGCAGAAATTTTGGACTTTTAACTTTATTTTCGTAGGTTTTACAGCTTTTCCTACTGATAAAAACTTCCCTTATTGTCATTCACACTACGCAAAGTAATTAAGCAATAAACATTTAACCTGTTGAACCCCATCAGGGGGGAGAACATCTGGTTTAACGGGATGTACCGCCAGATCTGTTATTTAAACACAGACACCTATGGCATTCACAGAAAGGTCAGAATGTCAGCAAAAAGCCCATAAAACCATTTCAACAACCACCTAATGGCTAAAACAACAAACGATTAAAAAACAGGTCAACAGATTTTGCAAAAACATGTAAACACAAAGCGCAGAGCCCCCCTTCTGTTTACTGAAAGTCACCATCTCTCAGTTTGGTCTCTTTGACCAAAACTCACTGAACCAGAAGCAAAAGATGACATTTGAAACGCATTGTAATGAATTCCCTCTTACCTCTGCTGTGATAAAATCCTACTTCCTGCACAGCTTTGTCTCTCTGTGTGTTTAAAGACCGCTTTCTCATCAAAAATCTTCTTTTTTTAATGTCTTATTCGCTTGGTCACCAGTCTACCATTGTGTACAGTGTTGTCGGCCGCCAAGGTTAGAATCACTCCTGAGTTCCACCTGTGTGTACTTTCAGTGATGAGGATTTTACTTATTGTCTTAACTGTGTTCAGTTACAAATCATGTTTACTCAAGCTTCACTGCTCTTGTTACGGTAAAAACGAAATTGGCAGATAGCGTCACAGATGAGTTATTATTTGTAATAATAGTTAGTTTAGGTAAACAAGTTCTTTCTGGCATTCAGGCGGTGCTTATACACTACACCTGTTCTGAGGTACTAGGAAAAGGATTTCACCTTTGAACTGAGATGTGTTTGTGAATCTGCTTTGGTCCGAGTGGCGTAAATGTTGTCTTCAGACCGATCTTTTTTTGTGACTGCATGACAAAGCACCAACTACAACTGCACCACAGGTGGCAGAGGTTCAAGAAGTATAACAGGAATGGTGACTCGGCTCTTGTATCTACAGCTGTCCGTGTCCACAACAGAGTGTAATCAAGGCCTTAGCTGCCCTCCATGTTTCCATTCTCTACTGTAGGCAAAGATGACCTTCTCCTAGCGCCATATATTTAATGTACAGATATGAGAGTGGTATCATTATATTATCTACCTCTAAGCAAGGAGTTCCTTCAGTGATTCTTATCTAATGTTTTTACATCGTGTCCTGTATCTCCTGATGTG